TTATTTGCGAACATTTTCATGTTGGAATTTTTTAATCTTGCAATTTGAGGCTATACAGAAAAAAGCTTGCGCAAAAATGCCTGAGCATAGCGTTAAAGCTGATGATATTTAAAGTTCTTTCTTTTAGTTCAGTAGATGCCGCCGAAATCGATACGGTGTGCATATTTCAAAATTAAACGTGTACTGGCATGCATGCTGACATAACTCACGTGAATTTCAAGTGACTTACCTTAAAAAAAAAAATTACGTATCATGTGTGATTTTATTCTTTCCTCGGCAACGATCCAAGTACTTGTATATTTATTTGTTTTTTCCATAAGACTGGCTTTTGCACAGTAAAATAATTTTTTCTATAAAGCAGTGAACATCCTTCATCGAAAGTATGAGTGAAACATCGCATATAAAGAATGGAAGACAATCGAAAAAACGAACCACTAAAACAATCACCTCCCAGCAGCCAGAAACCGACAATGGCTCTCGAAAGATGACTTTTAGGTCGAAGAGAACGGTCAATTATGTGCAATCGAGAAAGTCCATTAGATTGCAACAAAAATCAAAAAAGGATAAGCCCGTCAAGATCCCATTTCTACCTGACGAGATTATCTACAATGTGTTTGAGCAGGTACCTTCTTATTCCAGGTTTAATGCTTTGTTAAGTTGCAGGCGATTTTGTCGTCTCATGGTTCCGATTCTGTGGAGGGCGCCATTCATCACAAGATATCACAATTTCATACCAATGGACACATCAAACTTGATTTTAGTCTACATATCATGCCTCAATGCTTCCGGAAAATCAACATTGGAGCAGGCTGGCATCATATTACCCGATAATTCACCGCCTTTATTCCAATATCAGTATTTTCTCAAGGAATTCTCATTGATTCCATTTGAAAAGATGATTGTGGATTGGCTTGTCAAAAGTCAAAATCTCGAGGAAGATCGAAAAAAAGCTTATTTGCATTTCGGCGATCGATCAAGCCTTCCAGAAAGTTCGATAAAGGAGAAGATAAAGGTTCTATTGACCGAACTTTCGAGGCTTTTATTCGATTCTGCATGTTTAAAGTCGATCAAATTTTCGTTCACCTCCGGAACCTTGTTCCTGCCAAAAATCCAGACATTTTCTAAATTCGGCTTTATATCAGATAATGTCACTTCCTTAGAGCTGAGCACAACCTGTTTGGGCGCATCTGATTATATCAAGGATTCAACGCTAGAACTATTGGAATCATTGAAAAACTCCTTCACGAAACTTCAAAGTTTGGACATAAGGTGCTTCAACGCTCATGTTCCAGAATATTTGAACTTGATAAAAGTTCAAAACAAACTTGAGAAACTGACCTTGCGATATTCTCGCATAGTGAACCCTGTTCTCAAGACTTTGTCAGCGCTCGCCTCAACGACCTTAACCTGGCTAGGATTTCAGACGTTACACCTTAAGATCAAATCTTTGGCGGTTCTCTCGAATTGCAAAAATTTGGAGACTCTTGCGTTCTACAACATCATGGAGTTTGATTCGGAGCCTTCCATCATCGGCGAGAATACGCCGATTACACAATCACTACCCGTCAAAAGAATTTTCATATTCGACGACTTCTTCGACGCCAAGCCTGACTTCAAGCTGTTATTTCAAATGGCAAGGAGTTCTCTTAAAGAACTAACACTGGAGATTTTATACTCGAACCAAATTCAAGAGGTTCTTTCTTCAATAGTCGAGAATTCCTTGGATCTCAGATACCTAGCGCTGCACGTCAAACATTCGGACATCGGATTTGTGGAGTTCTACAAATGGTTGAAGGCTTCAAAATTAGAATCATTAATTCTGAAATCGAAAGAGAACAATTTTGGTACTTTTGTCAAGGAACTGTGCACTTATTTTCCCGAAACCTTGTCACACCTAGATCTCGAATTGAGCATCACGCCGATTCAATTATCGAATTTTTTGAACAAGTGTAATCACGTGAATTTCAAGAGGATCGGATTGAATGATTGTAGAGGAATCACGGACGAACACCTGCACATTCTAATGAAATACGCGGAATACTACGGTAGTTTGGAGATCGTGGAATATGACCGATGGCCGCTAAAGTATCTGAGCACGTTCGGGAGACTTGACGTGTTGTTTGGAAGGGAGGTAAGCTTTTCAAAGATAGATGAAGAGAAATTGAAGAAGGCCGGCAAGTTTATCAAAGTTATTAGGCGGGAGGGGTTCGACCCTTTTGAAAATTTAGTGACCACGTATTATTAGTTTCTCGAGTGAGATTTGGAAAATTGTCTAGGATGGCCGTCACCATTCCTGCGATTCTTTCTTATTTATTTATTGGGATTCTTAGATGGTCGCGATGATTAGAGATTAGAATCAACTTTGGTACGTTGTAATAAAACAAGGAAGAAAAAAAAAACAATAATAAACAAATTTTTGAAATTTTGTGCAATTCCCGAGGTATGCTCATTGGCGATTTCCTGCATGCAATAAACGTTAAAGGATTGATCATGTTATTTTGCAGGCGAGTGCCATTCATCGAGCTTCACATTTCTTGACACGTTTGAGGTTTTTGCATCCTTGTCTCGGCAAGCTTCAATGGTTTTAATTACACACACAAACATAAATCGATTTATCAGGTAAGTTAGTTCTATTACAAGATTTCTTATTCGCCAACTTCAATTATTTAATCGATATTTTCGCGACAAAAAAAAAATAAAAATAAAAAAAAAAAAATAAATAAATT